ACACCTTGGATTTGAGAGGGTCTCCTTCCTTCCCGTTCTTCCCCTGCCCCTCCCCCCCGCCCCTTAGCTCACCTGCTCTAAGTCCCAGTAGCTGGGGCTCTCCTCTTCCGAATCATATAAGGAGATCTCTGGGTCCACTGGAGCCTAGAGGGAAAAAGCAGTACAGAATGAGCTCTGTGACTGAACTACACAGCCTGGTGCAGAGTGAGCTCCATGACAGCCACACAGCCCGGTGCAGAGTGAGCTCCATGACAGCCACACAGCCTGGTGCAAAAGGCAGGCTTTCGGTGGTACCATGTGCTCAGATGCACAGCTGCTCTCCTCCCCTTTCCTCCCCTCCCTCACCTGCTCACATAGCCCCGTTCTGCCTACACCAGGCCTGCCCTCTGCGGGCATTTTAAAGGCAGGGAAGATGTACTTAGCTTACACTGACAAATGGCCAGCTGCCTGTCTTCAGGGAATCTATTTCCCTCTGTTTCCTCATCAAACTCGCTTTGCTGGCTTTCTACTCACCATGCTGTTGAAAAGGGTGTGGTGTGATTTATATACATGAATATATTCTGGAATATGTAAATATATTACATATATAAATTATTTTAAATATATAAACTGTAATAACTGGACATTATTTGCACAATAACAAATGATAAAGATCTTCCTCTTTTTGCTGGTGGACAAGGTTCATTAACTGTGCTGCATAGTTTCTGTCTATGGGTCGAGGGCGGGAGCCAAGGTCTCGCGTATTGCTGGGCAGCCTTTCAGTCCCTAGGACAGATGGCTTCACCTTCACAGTTTCTTAAAGCAAAGAGCACATTGTTGCTCTGGGGCCAGAAAAGGCTTTCCTATGATCCCCAGATGGTAGGGTCGAGTTTTATCGAGGGCCGGGACACAGAGTCTTGGGTGGCCAAGGACAGGGGCTGAGCTGGGAGGGGACTCTGGGAGGTGGAGGTTGTGGAGAAGGCCTGGGCAGGGACCCCAGTGGGGTGGGCTTTTTCTGCCTCCCCAGCTTTTTTGGAATTCTACAGTGTTATTTGTAGCTCATTTACATACCACTTACTGAGCTAGTAAATTAAATGTCAAGAAACTGAGATAAAACTCAAATCCAGTTTCTTCCTTCCTCACCAGCCTGAAATCTGCAAGCTGTGTTAAATTAAAACAGGCAGGCTTACTCCCCTCCCTCCCCCAAACCTCTTCTAGCAGGAGGAGGAGGAGGGGTGAACAATGCAGCAACATGGGACATAGCCGAATTTGGTGTTTGTGTGACTGGACACTAAGTTTCTTTTCATCTTTCTTTTTTTTTTTGGTTTTTTCTTATCTGGATATTAATATTTTAAATATGTTTTTGTTGTTTTTTTTTTAGAGAGAGCCTTTCGGAGAGGGAGAGAGAGAGAGAGAGAGAGAGAGAGAAACAATGATCAGAAACACCAATCAGCTGTCTCCTGCTCGCCTCCTACTGGGATCCAGCCCACAACCTGGGCTCATGCCCTAACCAGGAATCCAACCGGCGACCTTTCGGTTCATGGGACAACACTCAACCAACTAAGCCACCTGGCCGGGGCCGAACATTAATATTAATAAAAGATTTTACAATATACAAAGCACTTTCAAGTGATGTAAAAGATATTATTATCAGTTATTCCTAAAGCAAAAACAAAAGAAAAGCCCTCTGAGGTAGGTAATGTTAGTTTTGGGTGTCCATTCTACAGGTATGGAAACAGATTCGGAATTGGTTTTGGAGCACCCAACGTCTCCTGTGCTCTTTCTAACGCCCCCTGGTCCTGCTATTTCAGTGTCCTGGGGCCTAGGATCCCTCAGATGCCCGGACCTTACCCCTTGGAAGTCACGTCCTGGGGCCACTTCTCTGGCATTTGCCTGGGCAAAG